ATATTTTTGCGCCAAGCTTTTTTCTTTCTTTACAAAAACCAAGAAAATTAAAAATCAAGGAACCAATTTTCTGAATGCAATATCGCGTTCAGAAAAATTAAATCATCTTTTTTTCTATTTTTCTATCTTTATCAAGGTCAACGAGGAAAGGCTTTCTCCGATAAACCTAATAACTGCGCGCCGAGGTGTAATAGGGCGGTTGAATTTTTCTGTGGGGGCCGCCCGGGATCGAACCCGTGCCCCACCGACCCCGCAGAAGGGTAGGAAGAAGGACTGACGGCCGCCTTACCGACTGAGCCCACCGCGCCCTGCCGTGTTTGTTGGGCGCGGTCGTCTTTTGTCAATTGATGAAGGGAGGCACAATGGCGGCCCTAATCTGCGTCTCTTTCCCCCGCCCCGCCTCGCCCCGCCTCGCCCCGCCTCGCCACGCCACGCCACGCCTCGCCCCGCCACGCCACGCCTCGCCCCGCCACGCCCTGCCCCGCCCCACCACGGTGTCGCCCTGATAAATTCAAACGTTTCTTCGGTGCGTCCCCGCTCGGTCCCCGGGGCCGGCTGTCCCAGGGCTGTCCCCGGCACGGCGGAACCAAATGCACCTCGGGCCGAGTCTCTTTGGGACCGGGGCAGGCCGGGGCAGGCCGGCAGGGCGAGCGATTCTCCTCACAAATCACCAGATCGAGAGGTACATTATTTAGTTGGGACTTTCGCCCTGGCCTCTGGCCTCTGGCCCACGCTGCTCCCCATTCCCCCGAACGGCTTCTGGCCGTAACACTGCTCAATGGGTTAGTAGCCGCTGTCCCGGGGCTCCGGTCCGGGTCCCCCCGCAGACTGATTCCGCTCAGCGCCCCGTCGCTCCGTCTCTCTCGCGCGCTCGCCCGGCGCCCCACGAGTGCGAGAGAGACGGAGCGGCCGGCGTTCGCCGAGGACGCGACGACGGTGGTCGGGCCGGCCGGAAGGGGCAGGCCGGGGAAGGACCCGGAGGCTCGAAGGGCTCGTCATCGGAGGGCGGCAAAATCGCACTGAGGCTTTTGCGGCAATGTCCGAGCCGCGGTCGGGGGCCGCAGGGTCCGCAGGGCCGCGCAGTGGATTTGCCAGAAGACCGGTGGAGGCGGCCAAAACTTCAGTCGCGTTTTGAGCTCCAGAGTCGCTAAACAGGACACGAACCGAACGTGTGACCCCACCAAAGGATTCCTCGTACGGAGAGCAAATCCATTGGTGGGATCACACGTTCGGTTCGAGTCCTGTTTAGCGACTCTGGAGCTCAAAAAGCGCGTTCGAGGTTTTGACCACCTCGCCGGTCTTCTGGCTCTCTGTGAGCCACAGGGGTACGTTTCAAAGAAAAGGTGATTGGCGAAAATACAGATAAATATGCAAAACAAAATAAAGACACCATTTCAGAGGCATTCCGAGTCATGTTTCCAACAACGGTAGCTTAATCAAAACTGTTATTGACTGAAGGGAATGGGCTGGCCCTGGCGCGACGCTGGCTCCAGACAAGAGTAGGAAGGCGGGCAGGCCGGGTACCCATCCGTAATGTGAACTGGGATTCCCACGGCTAAACGCGGAGGCTGCGTCTCCAGGCCGAGCCGTGCCGAGCCGAGCCGAGCCGAGCCGTGCCGAGCCGAGCCGAGCCGTGCCGAGCCGAGCCGAGCTGAGCCGAGCCGAGCCGAGCCGCTGCTGCGTGCGTAGCCGTGGCGTGGCCGAGCCCTGTTGGGAGCCACGCCGGGCGGAGCGGCGCGGTGTAGTTATGGCATGGCGCTGGGAGTTGGCAGGGTGCCAGCACCATTCTCCCTCTAGATCCACACGAGCGGCGCTAGCGGCGCTAGCGGGCCCTAGCCAGCCCACGCACCCCGGAGGGCTCGGAGGGCCCGGAGGCATGGCGCGCCGCGGAGCGCGGAGCCTGGCAGAGCCACCGTGGCGCTATCGTGCGACAGAGATACTGTGCTATTGCCGTCTCATCATCGTCTGTCACTCTCGCTCTCTCTCTCTCTCCTCTCGCTCTCTCTCCTCTCGCTCTCTCTCCTCTCGCTCTCTCTCCCCTCTCGCTCTCTCTCTCTCTCTCTCTCTCTCTCTCTCTCTCTCCTCTCGCTCTCTCTCCTCTCTCTCTCTCTCTACCTCCCTCTCTCTCTGTCTAGAGGGGCGCCTGCGAGGAAGGCACTTTGGAGGCACTCGTGTCGCGCGTGACCCTGGCATTGCCTACCCGCCAGGCGCTCCATTACCATTACCACTAAGGGCTAGACCACATCGGACGGGGCGGTGCGGCCCAAAAACGGGCCGGTCCAAGATGAGGCGATTGTTGTTGTCACTCCTCGCCGCGAAAAGCGAATTTCCCAATCGGCCCGGCACTGTGAAAAAGTCCTGGGGGAATCTGCTTTGCAACGACGAGGGAAAGGAAGACGGGGCGTTGCAATTCGCATTGCGAGGGAATGCTTTGTATTGCGAAGACTTTTTTACTTCGGAATTAGAATTGATTCTCCGCAGATTTCTCGTCCTTTTTATGTCATTGTGGGAAGAGTCTGGTCTTTGAATTTTGTTCTTTTGATTATGGAACTGATCATTTTGAAGTTAATTAATGTGCCTTTGTTACGTTGGATTTTGCGTGTTGACCGTTGCAAGTTTTGCTGTGTTGCCCCACATTTAATCTACGCCGTTGTTTTTCTTTTTCTTTTGTTGTTGTAATTTTTTTTACAGCGTTTGACACTTTGAAACGAAGGAAATGCCATGGAAGCACGACGCAGGACGTTCCTCCTCGTTTCCGAGAGTCGTCCTCGTCGCTCTGCCTCTCTCGCACCGATCCGTGACGCCCCGTGAGTGCGGGAGAGGCAGAGCGAGACTCTCCGTCTTGGTGTGCCGGACACGGGTCGCGACGGTCGCGACGGAGGGCGGCGAGCAGAGACGCTCCTCCAGCACCACGGACAAAGAGGCACATCGTTCGACTGAGCCGTCCGACTGTGAAATTCGCCCCGACGCACTTCCATTCTCTCGCCGTTTTAAAAAGAATCCCCTTTGTTTGGTCACACAATGACCTCGCGGTGGCCTCGCCGTTTGGTGGACCACCTTTGGTCGGCCCGCCTCGCGTGCGGCCCCAACAACAACAACAACAACTAGGCCAATTCGCGGAAGAAAAGTGTTTTGTTGTCGTCCCGTCTCTTTGGACAGCGATGTGAACACGGCACTCCCTGGCGAGAGATGTGCAGATATCGATACCACTCATCGATCAAGGCCGGGGAGGCCCCCCCCCCTCTCTCTCTCTCTCTCTCTCTCTCCTCTCTCTCTCTCTCTCTCTCTCTCTCTCTCTCTCTCTCTCTCTCTCTCTGACGGGCGCGCTGTTCCCTGCTCAAGCCGAATGGGACGTATCGTGTTGCGATCCCGCAGGTAACCGACCGACTTGGGAGGAGGAAGGCAAGGCGGCTCTGTCTCGCACTATCGAAAAAGGGTCCTGCTTCTAGTAGGGCGGGTAACCCCGACCACGCTCGCAGGCAGCAGGCTCTTTTCCTCGTTAATGTGCGAAGAGCATCCGCGGATGCTGGTCTGCAACAGCCATGAGTCCATTCGCCTGTATAGGATTGCCAATTTGCTGTCCTCCGGGGCCTTTGCACAGTAAAAACTCTACGAAGAGCTGCTTTGTAATACGAAGAAAATGAAGGCACTGTAAAATCTACGAAGAAATCCTTCGTATTACGAAGCAAACTCCTTCGTAATACGAAGCATTTCTTCATAATACGAAGCGATTCTACAATGCCTTCATTTTCTTTGTAGTTATGAAGCAAAAGCTTCGTAGGCTTTTAAGAGTGTGTCGGTCAACGCCTTAAACTTCGCGCGCATTAAAGTTTTTGGTGAGAGCTGTATCTTTATAAAAAACAAATGGCGTTTCTCTGGGTTGCATAAATGCTCAAGGTTCTTGGACGCAATTTTCCGATTCGAGACATTTTTGTTGATACGTGTCAGTGACACATGTTCCTTTTCCTCCTGGTTGGGATTCCAGTCAAGTGGAATTCCTCGCACCTCCCAGGACACTTTCTCGATCTCCCCGTTCCGCTCTCTCTCTCTCTCTCTCTCTCTCTCTCTCTCTCTCTCTCTCTCTCTCTCTCTCTCTCTCTCTCTCTCTTTCTCACTCTCTCTCTCTCTCTCTCTCTCTCTCTCTCTTTTTCTCTCTGCTGCTCCACATTACCGGACCGCTGACCTTTTTCCGTGTCATCGTCCATTTGCCATTCAAAAGCGGAAGTCTGGCCTCGTCGTCGTTCCCCTTCAAAATCCGGCAAGTTTCTCGCTGACGAGCGGACAGACAGTCAGACAGTCAGACAGTCAGACAGTCAGTCAGACAGACAGACAGTCAGACAGTCAGACAGTCAGTCAGACAGTCAGACAGTCAGACAGTCAGACAGACAGACAGACGGACGGACGGACGGTCGGACTTTGACACCCGCGCTTCCTCGCTGTGAGGGCGCGCTGGACGTAATTCTGTCTTTGTAGCGAGGCAGGGCGGCAGCGAGGACTCGGGACAAAAAGAAAGTCGCGGATTCGCCGAGAGGAGGTACTATGGAAAACGCTGCTTCTTCCCATTGTGCGCGACCCTTCGGGATTGTCCTCGGGTTTGTAGAGTACAACACTGAGGTGCCGAGGCGGCAGTAGGAGGAAGCAGCGGATCCAGTAACCTCCGGGAACCAAACAACAATTTTGTGCCCCGATAAACGCAGTGTGTCCGGCAAGAGAAAGATAGGCCCTTTCTTTGGAGGCACAAAGTAGCCCTGTAGTTTCCCCAGCCCAGGGTGCTTGTTTATCAGATCAAAACAAGACAGTCTAAGGTGTAAGCTAGCTTTTTACTCTCGAGTCCAAAAACCAAGCGCGTTTCCTTATTTTTAGCGGATGATACCTTTACGTACTTCAAAACATACCTAGAACAGCACAAGACACTCAAGGTGTCAGCTACCTTTTTTGTATTTCCAGTGCTGCCAAAATTTTCCACCGGGTTTTGATGAGACTTTTTTTTGTGTTGGCAGTTGGCAATACCGGCGCCCTCGGTGACGGGACGCTCTTCGGCGGCGCCAACCAATCGTCCATGCAGAGCGCCAAGCTGATCCTCATGGACCCCGCCGCCGAAGCCACCACCGTCACGGACAGGACGGACACCACGGCCCTGCAGCCCAGCACCAAGAAGGACAAGGACGACACCATCATGATCCAGTACAGGCGGTGAGTCGGCACAGTGAAGACCGGTGGAGGCGGCCGAAAATTCTAGACGCTTTGAGATCCAGAGTCTCTAAACAGGACTCGAACCGAGCGTGTGACCCCACCAATGGGTTGCTCGTTCGAAGAGCAATCCATTGGTGGGGTTCCCTTGGCGTTTCCAAAACTTTTTGTTCTCAGTGTCGCTTCCGTCTTTGACGCCACGACAACTTGTTTCGGCAGGTTTCAGAGGCCGCAGCGCCGAGACCTGCCCATCGGACTGGGCGGCGGCGACGCCGAGTACACGTCGCCGGCCTGCGAGCAGTTCAACCACGACGAAGTGATGGCGGGCGACCGGCGCGCCATCGTCTTCAAGTCGCCCAACTACCCCAACAACTACCCCAACAACACGGACTGCGTGCGCCGCCTGACGGGTGAGTGAGCAAGTTAACGGTCAGCTTAACTCGAATCGCGGCGTCTCTCTCGCACTCGCGGGGCGTCCCGTGGCGTCCCGTGGGTTTGCGAGAGAGACGGAGCGACAGCCTGTGGGTGAGCAGCGCGTGCCGCACGTGGCGCCCGCCGCACTGCCAGGCCGGCTGGGCTGCCCGGCTTACGGAACATGTCATCAATCTGGGAAAGTCTTGACGCTCTTGACGCGGCCAGACGTCGCCGCCAAGCCGCCCCCAGCCCGCCAGCTGCTGGGCCGGAGCACAGTGGGCCGGAAGACCGGTGGAGGCGTCCAAAACTTGGACGCGTTTTGAGCTCCATGGTCGCTGAATGGGACTCGAACCGAACGTGTGATCCCACCAATGGATTCCTCGTTCGGAAAGCAATCAGTTGGTGGGGTCACACGTTTGGATCGAGTTCCATTTAGCCACTCGGGAGCTTCAAAACGCGCCTAGAGGTTTGGCCAAGGGTTTGGCCGCTTGCACCGGCGAGCTGTGCGAAGGCCGCCTCTTCTGTCTGTCTGTCGGCGTGTGTCTGTCTGTCTGTCTGTCCGTCTGTCTGTCCGTCTGTCCCCCGCGTGCTGCGGACAAGCAGCAGACACCGCGAGACATGTGGCCCCCCACCTTGGTTCCGCCCTGCATATGCCTACCGCAGGTCCCGCCCCTCACCATAGAGTCTGAGTCGGTGCCACCCATCCCTATTACACCCCTTCTCTCTCGCTCACGCTTATAATCCTCCTACCCCCTCTTCTTTATGCTCCTCTCCCCCGTCGGCTCCCCTACTTCTCACGTCCCTTTCCCTAAACCTTTCCTTTCAAGTTTTCTTCCCCCGTTCCTTCTCTTTTCCGCCCACCTTTTTTCCTCCCCTTTCTCAATACGTCTTTCGCCCCCTCCCCACCCATTTTCCACCCCTCTCCCCATCCCCTCTCTCACTTTGCCCCCCCCCTTTTCCCCCCGCACTAAACCATTAAAAGTGCGCTGTTTACCGGATAATGTGCTGTTAAAGGGCCAATAAGCCTGTGGCTGTGGTGGGCGCGCAGCAGGCCCGAGTCGCCCGAGTGGCGTGAATGACACTGCTGCTGCTGTTGGTGTGAGGCCAGGAGGGGGGAGGGGAAAGATGCTTATTAGCAGATACTCCGCGGCTATCGGCTGGAATCGAGGCTATATGCACGACGCCAAACTGGCGAAACTGTGATTCGGCGCGACGGTGCTTCGGGCTGCAGGAGAGAGGGGGGGAGCGAACCCCTCTGAAATGGAGAAGTCGCACCTGATACCCGCGATGCAGGGGTGTCGGTGGGTGCTGGTTGGATGGGGCAGCGCCGCCGTTTTCGACCGGGTTCTTTCACACACTCTGGAACTCGCTCTGGAATTTGGATGAGTACTCGACCGTGCCGTGCCACGCCGTGCCGCACTGTGGGCCAGAAGACCGGCGCAGGCGGCCAAAACTCGGGACGCGTTTCGAGCTCCAGAGTCGCCAAATGGGACTCGAACCGAACGCGTGACCCCACCAATGGGTTGCTAGTTGGGAGACTAATCCATTGGTGGGGTCACACGTTCGGTTCGAGTCCCATTTAGCGACTCTGGAGCTGCGTCTAGAGTTTCGGCCGCCCCCGCCGGTCTTCTGGCCCACTGTGTGCCGTGCAGCGCCGCGGTGGCGGCCAAGGCGCTAATGCCGATGGCGGCTCGCGATATCGCGAATGAATGCGGCAGATGGACGGATAGCGAGGGATTGAAAGGGGCGGGCAAATTGGGTGAGTCTCTCTCGCACGCGCGGACCGTCTCGCCGTGGGTGCGAGAGAGACAGAGAGCCAAAGACGGCGCCGGATTCCAGGGACTGATTCGAGGAGCGCGCGGCGCGGCCAGGGCGTCGAGACGAACCCCGACGGCATTCCCCAAGTGATCAACAAGTGAACGTCTGTTTTAGTTGCATGGCCAGGATTGGTACGGCGGAGTTAGTTACACCGGATTCGAGCAGATGCATTGGAACCGGTCGACGGTTATCGGCAGGGCGCCGCGAGGAAGCGCTGTAGTGCGACCCGCTCCTCAACGCCCTGGAGTCCTGGAGACCCTATTGCCCCGCCTCGGGGAGGCTTTGACCGCAGCTAGCTTGGGACCAATGACCTCACAATGTTGGTCAAAAAGTAATTGAATCTCCGAAAGTATGATTGTGATCATGTCGGATTATGTTGCTCATACCACTGATCCCCAACTAGGCGTACGCTGATTAACTCAAGTGGGTCACCCCTTGCCTTCGATACTTTCAAACCATCTGAAAAAAAAAACACTCGAATTTTGTTGGTGTGACTGTGTTTGCGACAGTGAGCGACAATCATCGTGGAGCGGGAGGCGTCCCTGGCGGTACCCGTTTCGAGAGCTCGCTTCGAGAGCTCGCTCTTTATTTGTTCGTCGCACGACTTCCGTCGTCGTGTCTCGGCCGTGACAGTCTTACCTGTTCTCCGAGTATCTCCTTAGATCTTTACGGGGCGGCAGACTGGTCTCTCCGCGCCGTTTTACCTGGAATTTAGAGCGCACACTGTCGGCTTTTCACCCCCTCCTCCTTCTCACACACACACACTGTAGACACGCTCAGGCGAGCATGTTTACTTGTTTCCCCCCTATCTTCCCTTTCCCTCTGCGAATTGAGATGCAAACGCCTAAGCATCTCGAAGTCACACTGCGCCGATACGCCCCCCCCTCCCCCTTTTCTCTCTCTCTCTTTCTCCGGCTCGGCCAGATAGGCATCTGAGTCACTGGTGGAACGCTCTCCTCCGTCACCTGCCCACCTGGGGGCGGCAGGCTTGGCCTGTTAGGGGGGAGGCGCCCATTCAATGCTCGCGGCTCTTTTTAACGCTGTGCCACCCCTCTCCCTCCCCCTCCCTCCCTCCCCGCCCCTCCCTCTGGCCCACAATCTTTTCTCTCTGTCCTGCTCGGAGCCTCTTTCATTCCATTATCCCCGGTATGGTTTATTGTGGCCGACACTGTAAGTGCCCGCTTCGCCACCACCACTTTGCAGAGCGCGCCACCGCGGCCCCGAGAGAGAGAGAGAGAGAGAGAGAGAGAGAGAGAGAGAGAGAGAGAGAGAGAGAGAGAGAGAGAGAGAGAGAAGGGGGAAGGTGAGACCGCTCAGTTAATTGAGGCTTATCCCCCCGGTCAAGAAAGCCCCACTGCGTCGGTTGAATAATACCTGCCTCTGCTTACCCCAACTCCAGCAATGCCCCCCCCCCTTCCCCCCGTTTCCAGTGCGACGTACACCCGCTTAATTAGACGCGCCACGCGCATGCGCGCCCCCTGTTAAAAAAATTTAAAAAACAGGTTAAATGTCATTTTTGACATCACGTGACGGAGCTCGAAATGAGATCAACAGAATCTGGCTTTATGGTCCACCGTTAGCTGCATTCCCTTCCTTTTGCAGTGCACGAAAATAAATGACTGCTTGAACAAAAACAAAGTAACCTTTTTTTTCATAAATTTCTTTTGTCCAATTTTTTTTAGTTGCATAAAAAAAGTATTTTGGGTCAAGATTTTTTTTAATAAAAACCTAGAAATCAAAAAAATTCAGAAACCATGTTTTTGGGTGTTGGAAACATTTACAAGAGAGCGTGTCGTGCTCGGTGTCGTCTGTGTGTGCCGACGAGGCGGCGCGACGACGAAGCGATCTTTGAAAGTGGCGCGGCTGACCTTCGGACCTTCCGGACCTTCGGCTCCCTTCTTTCGCCGCGCGGCCTCCCGATTTGCTTCGCCAATCCAATTATGTCAGCGATTAAGGAGCGAGTCTCTCTCCGCCTCGCTCCTTCCAAAAGGGAAAGGGGAGGGGGGAGAAAGACAGAGAGAGAGAGCGCGAAAGAAATAAAAATGAGACGGAAAATTGATAGGGCTACCGCACGAATCGCTGAGCTAGGAGCTAACAAGGGTACGGAATGGAAAAGGCGGCGCTATGAGATGAGTGGCGGCACTTTGAGTGTGAGCGTGTGTGTGTGTGTGTGTGTTGGCTCGCGCGTGTGTGTGTGCTTTTGCTCTCGAGGTCCGCCGGAGATAAAACCGAAGAGAGCCAAAATCCAAAGTCGGGAACAATGTTGTTGTATCGATGATTTGGGGAGTGGTGTCGGTATGGAAAATTGATCGTCTGTAATTGTGGGTGGGTTTGGCCTTGCGCACGCTTTAAACCTTCCGATGTATTTTAAGCATACATTGTACAAACTTATTTGTTTTGTTATATACGAAGAAATAGTTCGCTTATGTATCGTCAAAACACTTTGTTAAAACAAGCTGCTTCTCTTTGTAAGGCCTAAAATAGTTTGTAAGGTTTCCTCAGAGCGGAATGTGCGACAGAGTCCCAGAATCTCGGGACTCCCAGCGCCGTGTTCTCGCCCGCCGAGTGGACTGGACTGCAGGCCCCGCGCTCCCATCCCGCCTCTCGCCAGAGTTTCCTCCTCAAATTGATATAAAAATATCTCGGGGATCAGGAGGAGAAAATTGGAAAGAATTATGGAATCGAGAAAGTCGTCAAACGGACAAATCCTGCAATCTACTGCGCTGCTCGGGCCGAGGCTCGGGCGCTGGCTGGGAAGCGCCTCAGCGCCCCCCGCGGGCCCGGGGCTCAGCCCGGAACTCTTTCCAGTGGCGCCAACACCCAGGCGCCAATCTCAGCCAAGTTTGCTGGCTTTCCCCGCCATTTCCTTTTTACTTTGAAGAATTTAAGGTTGGCCACACTGTCATAAACCTCATGAAATCGTTTTCGACTCATGTAAAGGTGCACTCTGAATTCGTAACCCATTCGCTCAGTGTCCACTGGACGGACCTAGAGGTGGCTCTGGGCCAGCCTGCCGATGGTCGTTGGCTTTTTTTTCTCGATCAAGTCCCAGTGGAGACTTGTCGATCGCTCGACGCAACCGCGAGCCTGGCCTTGACTCGATGACTTCCGCCCTTAGGGAGCATCGTTATCGATTTCTCTTTAATGCTCATGGTCGAACAGCACGGCCACTCTGGGT